GGGGGGGGGGGGGGGGGGGGGGGGGGGGGGGGGGGGGGGGGGAAGTAAGCTACGCGGTAGATGTGGAATCTGCACGATAGCAAATTTGGGGTGTACCATTTGGGTTTCGGTTCATCGTTCGCATCGCGATCGGAAATGCAGTCGTGGAGCCGTCAGACGTCTTCCGAGATCGCAGGAAACAAGAAGATACGAGATGTTTGGGATGAAGACGACAGGCGAAGAGGAGAAAGGTGAAGGGCAAAGGTGGAAACGAGTCATCCAAGAACTGAACTGGTTGGGAAAAGGGGGATCGTGGACGAATCTCTTAAATCATATCGTACGAATAGATGTAACATGACTTAGAATAATATGAGAGGGACGTCCATGCAGACGAGTGACAGTCGCTTCTGCACAAGTAAGGGGGATGAGGACAGGGTAAAAAGGAAATGAGATGAATAGAGTGAAGAGGAAGGGATGTACGAGGTCGGTCCGTCCGTCCGTCTGTCTGTCTGTCTGTCTTCGTGGATTGTTGAGTGTGGAGGTAGACGAGGAGCACAGGGATCCATCCTATCAATCTAATGCTAGACTAGGAGTGAAAAGAGCTAGAAAAGCTCGGAAGAATCGCGACGCCCACCTTCCCCCCTCCCCCCTTTCCCCCCCTCCCTCCTCCCCCCTTTCCCCCCCTCCCTCCTCCCCCCTTTCCTCCCCCGTCGGCAAGAAATGGAGACCTCCTGGTCGGGGAATCGCCAAGTATGGGGCATTCGGTGAGTGGTGGATCCCTCCGAACGAGCGATCCGCACGAAATCGGCTCGTCGAGTCCCGGATATCTTCATGAGAGGAACTCAGACTTCACATTCTCCACTCGTGCTTTTTGGTATTCGGAAGAATTTCTCTGCCCTCGCGATACCGCCGAGAAAAGCGGTCGGAAACTCGCTCCGGGGGACCACGAAAAAGGGGGGGAATACCGCGATGACGACCTCTCAAGGACGGGGTTCGTTTCCCCGCATATCGGATCGCCTCGCGTTTTACAATCGGCACGCTCATGAATTGGAGTCCGGATCGCCTTCGTGCGATGGAAACGACGTTCCGACCCCTAAGTGATGTTGGACGTCGAAGGCGCGTCCGTGGACGCAGTCCGGCTTGCGACGGGACGACCAGAAGAGACGGGGAATGCATGAAAAACGAGACGATCGAAACACGAAATCGATATTAAAAAAGACTTCATTGATGTTTAGTTCGCACTGCCTTAGTTACGCCGACTCGTCGGCGTGCCGATCCGGTCGCATTTCGGCACGCGGGAATTCGTGGAGCGTCTTCAGACCCGAGGACTCTTCACGCGTGCTTGCGATTTCGCACACACACGCTTATGTTCTTCCCTACGGATCTGGGTGTACATGACCTAGCGCATTCCACCTTCTCGTAACCCGAAAAGTAACTATTGATATTTCTCAACTGAGAGTTACCTTAATCTTGCTTGGCTTCAACTGGTCCCCTTCTCCTCTTTCTCCTCCTTCCCCTTCTTCCCCTCCTTCTCCTTCCCCTCCTTCCAGTCTCCCTAACACTTATCTGTCTCTCTGCGTCGTGAAATGTTTGTAATGTTATGCGTCTGGATGAGTTGTCCCCGGTTGGCCTTCGATCGACGATAATGTCGTCGAAACATATTCCGTTGCCGTTCGTATTCTCATTTCCTTTCTTTCCTCCTTCGCGATCCCCTCACCTGCCTTTCGATCCTTTTATTTTCGGACCTTTAAAACGACCTTTGAGACTCTGACTTTCGTCTGATGCGATGCCCTTGCGAGCTCTTTTCTCGACGCCGGACGAAGCCGGAGATCCGGTTCCGATCGACGAAATGTGGATTCTTGGATCTCGGATGACCCCCGAGTCAAAGTCGCTCCTCGCACTTGCTCGTCCTTCGCCGAGCGAGTCGAGAGAACAACTGCCGAAAAGGTCCTCGTCTTCGTTCATCGAACGGGAATCATTTGTTCATCCCAGGGATGGGATGATTATTTAATTCCCTCTCGGTTTCCAACTCATCATTCCCTCCTTAGGAAAACGCATCTTTTGGAATCTTTCCAAATTTTCCTCATATTCACTCGGTTTTATCATCTAAGTTAAGTGATGATGTTTATAAGAAAAAGAAGCGTCGAGGAGACGGAACTCCTACGACACGGTTTCTGATCGCCGAGTACCCTGTTGCTACCCCGACGACCGGTTGCGAGTCCAATTACTCGCCCTACGTGGAATCCCCACGAGTCTCCGATTTAGATGGCATCGTCAAGCGGGGAACGATACGGAAAGCTTTTTCATTCCGGCGGGTTTCCCTCGTCCAACGTGTGAGTTAATTCGCTGCGGAGTTTTATCAGACGACGTCTCTCGGGAACCGTGCCCGTGATTTTCCTCGTCCGCTTTTCGACCACCTCTTCCTTCCTCGTACTCTTTTTTTTTAAATATGTTATACGCTCGTGAGAGAAGGTGGAAATGCCGGGGAGAACTGACGAGTCCATCGTCATCCGAAATCTGGAAGGGCCGAACCGCTGCGCCGCAAAGTATTAATAGTTCTCGAGAGAATTCAGTCGCTTTCCCCACTCTCACCTCTCTTATTTTACACGGAATCTCTTTCGGCGAGAAGAGTGGCCGAGGGAGCACCCCTGGAGCACCCATCGCTCGTTCTTGGTGTCATCCCGGGAATATCTGGCTCTCGAGAAAGCGCAGGAAATAAATGAGATGAACTCGATCGTGAGGGGAGATTATCCCCGACTCACTTCCCCGGTGCGATTCCTTAAAAAGCGGAACGGAATGGAATGGAAATTCCGCTTTTCCCACCCAGCGCAGGAACGGGAAACTTCTCGATGAGGACTGGTTAGCGTTAAATTCCTGCTTTTCTCCTCAGGGTATGGCACAAAAACGACTCTCCACTTTTATGAGTTAATTAAAAACTCTCTGCTTTTGCTATTTTCGCGAAGCCTGCACCCTGCACGTGTTCGTTTGAGACTCGTCCTCGAAATTCTGGCGGGAATCCGAGTGCAATCGAGTGCAATGCCTATCGAGTCTTCCCGTACATTTTTGCTTTCCGATTTCTTTTCGATAATCCTTCATGGCCTTCGTGGATGGAGAAACAAAATTCATGACGTTTCAAACTGGTGCCGAGAACAGTCGATGCAAAACGAGTTTTGCGAGACTAACTAACTTCATTAAGTGCAGATTAAACCTCTTTTTTTTTTGGTGGTCCAGGAGGAATTTCTCGTTTTTCCCTCCCATCTCGCATCATGAATTCCATATCCGACGGCTCACTGAAATGAGATCTTCTCCATGCATCCAACTCATCCCTAACAACAAAAAATTCCATTCAAACAAAGACCATTCATTCTCTGGATATTGAAACCGGCACGGTTTGAAACATCCTTCTTTCTTAAACTTGTTCCTGAAAATGCGACAGCTACTCCGAGAATGGTTATCGGAATCACGCGATGTCGGATTCTACATGGATATAAACTATCGGTGTAACGGTATTTTTGCACTTCGCCAAGGAAAAACATTCACCTCACATCTACGGTTTCTGTTTTGTGTAGTATTGCTGGAATCATACTTTGCGATGCAGAGGAGCATTTCCGCACGGTGCACATTCCCGTCGTGTCTCTCGTCTTCCTGGACACATTACGGAGTATCGCCGCCTTTTCGCCACACGTACTCTCGAGGCAGCCACGACTCTTTACAAATAGTTCATCCGTCAAGGAATGAAATTAACTTCGCCCTAGCTTTATAGATGGCAGCGAGAAGGGTGATAATTCCTTACGATGCCATGCCTTCTGTGGAGCACCCGATGAATTACCTCCTCTCACCCAGAAAGCAACATAAAAGTTACGGGAGAGCCGTGAAACGACGCGTATGCCGACCCGTAAATTTAACGAGTGTAAACCGGATGAGTGGTTAACCCCGCATCGCGATCGTCAGCCTTCGTTCGGAGACGACCATCCGAGAGCCGGATCATGGCACCCATCGTATTCCTTAATACGATGGGTGCCATGATTCCGGATACACCCGCTCTCGATCCAGGTACCAGACTTCTCCAGTTGCCTAGTCGAGCCTTTGACCTCGACCACGTACTGGGATCCGGGGCAACTCCAAGCGCCTCCACCCCCACCTAGTGTCAGCGGCGACTTCAAGAATAATGAGGCTCTCGGAGAATTTGGGTCTCGCTCGAGCGCTCCCTACTGTGGGATGCCTTTTGTCTCTGTCGAGGGGAATCTTTGAAAGCGTGACCACGAGATCCTAGGTATAGCTATGTTTTTGTCGTTATGGAAGTGTGTGGTGTATTTAGCTACTTCGTCAGAATTCTTTGAAAATTCCTAGACACTTCCGTGAGTCTGGGCACTTCTTACACAACTCAAGTTTCCCACACGTTTATGGAAAGAACACCGATTTCAATGTTTCACCATTCATTCACGTGACTCTGGGGATACTTCGTCAAATACCAGCATTTCGCTATTAATTATCACAAGCGCGACGAATGAGATAGGATTTCCCATTTTGTCGTGCTTGTTTTAACCGACGCGGGTTCCCCTCTGATTCGTCTGCAGATGATGATGGCAGTGGAGGACCTCGACGTGATCGAGCCGGCCGGCGAGACGGTCAAAAGGAAATTCACCGTCACGAAAGTAGAGGAGAAAGTATTAGAACCTTTCGACAAATCTTCTCAGACCCCCAACGAGATCCTGAAGAGGATCGACGCCAACATCGCCCTCCTCCGCAGCAACATCCAAGACATCGGCTCCAACAGCAAGTGAGTCCATTCGGACTTGATCTCCTCGGAACAGATGATCGGACGCTCGGAAACCTCCTTCAGGCTCGTCACCGAGCTGGAGACGGTGGTCTCGGGGAGCAGCTACCGCAAGAACCGCTACTACCCGCGAGAGCAGTACCTCCAGACCGGCTCGCGCGGCGAGGAGAAGGTGGTGTTCGTCGAGATGCAGACGCGGGGGATCGTGAACGACGCCTTCCAAGCGAACGAGGGAGGGGAGAAGAACATGCGATGATCGGCTTCCTCTTCGTTCTCGTTCCGTTCTTTAAAATCCCGACACGCGTTTCAGTGCAAAATATGTTTTTATGCAATAAATAGATACTTTACCCGAGTGTGCATACTCAATTACGAAACACCAGTCTCTCGAGATCCGTTTAAATATCAGAGGTCAACGATCACAGGGAGGTACGAGGCGAAACAGAACCGGACGGACTAGGTTGAATGAGATTCGATCTGCAGATCATCAGAGGATGGACACGTAGCGAAGAAACTTGTCGACCTCGACTTTGCGATCTTCGTCCGAACGACACGACAGATCCTTGGCGAGTCGGTAACCGACGATTCGTCCGTCTGACATACCCACGGCCTGAAAGACGCAGAAAATAAATAACAATTTCTTCCTTTCACCAGACACGAGCTACAAAAATTTTTGATGTTACCATGGGGATCTGCTGGGAGGCATCCAAATATGGGAGGGACCCGAGGGCAACGTGGGATATCACGTCCGACTTCAACTGAACAGTGTATCTTGGCTCTAAATCTCCTTTTGTCAGATCCCACACGGAAAGCCTCAAAAGACATCAAACAAGTTTTTTTTTATATCGTAACGAGAGTAAACCCCAAAGATTGTGAATTCGACTCACATGCCAAGTGCATCCAAAGAGAAGAAGACGCAAGGCCGACAGGGAGACCATATCAATTGCTTGATGGGGATCGGTACTTCTGACTTATTCCCATTCCATGCCGTCAGTGGCCTCTCGTTGCTGGAATCTGCTGCAAACAGCGAGATGGACCCGTCGGCACCTCCGATCAAGAGGAAGGGACGTCGATGTTGTGCAAAATCCACGCTCGTCGCTTTGTATACCGTCTCTGTCGGCAGCAAAGAACACTTTTTATGAACACATCGAAGAGACTTGTTGACGTGAGAGAAAAGAGGGACTGACCGGGCTGAGGGTTGAAAAAGCGGGGTACCGGTGTGTCACCGTGTCTCGTGCAATGGACGACTCCGTGGCTATCCGAGCATACGTATAGATGATTGGAGTCCGTCGCGTTGAGGACCAAGCTGTCCGTCCTCAACGTCCCATTCGTCTCTCCTCCTTCCCTGAAATGGAATCGGGACGTGCAGACACGCGAGCCCGGTGTGGGATGGGAAAGCTAAGAGTGAGACCTCAGGAGCAGATCGCCGACTCGGACGGAGAAGGAAGTCGGTGAGAGCTTCCAGTGCGCCCAGTGGGCGAGGCCGACATCGGTCTCCGTTTCCAAGTCTACCGGGTCCACGTCCTGCTTCACCAGGACCCAAAACTTCATCATTCCTCCTTCCGTGAGGGACACCACCTGCAGCACCACCCTTGCGATCGTGAGATGCACTCGGAAAGAACGAAGGCGAGCACGGACGAGACTCCTCACCTGGTCGCTGGAAGAGGTCTCGGAGCTGCTGTCGGTCACGATCTTTAAATCCACGACGGCGTCGTCTGTTTCTTCTTCCCCTGTGGCGACTGGTTCAAAATTTCACAGATCGGTGAACCGGTGACGACGAAATCGAGTAAAAGAACGAGTGAGGAGAGCGATCTCACCAGTGCAATAGGTGGGAGTCCTGGGGAAAAGAGCAGGATGGAGCAACTCGTAACCCCAAGAGACTCCAAGCTGCTGATGAGTGGAGGAGGGTTCTTCCACGTCCCAGAGCGAGATGACCCCTTGTTGGAGTCCAGCCATGATCACGTTCGTCCCTCGCGGACCGAAGCAGAGGCAGTGCACCAGCCCGGGAGAGAGGAAAACCTTCTGGGGCTGGGATGGCTCTCGGAGATTCCACAGACAGAGCATGGAGTTCTTCGCCAATTCTTCCCCTTCCTATGGATATGCAACAGTCCAACAAGATTTGCAGAATGAGGAATGGTGCTTCTTGCATGGTGGTCTCATGCCGATTTTGCAGGGTGGAGGGTACATCAAGAGAGAAAAACAAGACAATTGCAGAAGGAATTTGTGTTCACTCATTACTATGGAGCAAGCCATTAGGCTCAAAGCTCCAAATTCTTGAACGAGGAGGTCGCTATGGGGTTCAATTCTCTATTGTTTTCTATGGAAAATAATGAAAATACTTGTTTTAACGATACATGTCTAAGTTAGGGAAAAAAGTAGAAGGTCCTGGGATCTTATTTCAGATAGCCTCAGCTGTATGCCATCTGTTCTAAAGTTTTGGATGGACTGGACTAGCTCTCTTCATCTTTGCTTGTAACAAGTTTCTTTTATGAAATCATGAAGTGGATTCAGATTGCAAACACTTAGCTTGTAAAAATAATTATGTTTACAGTACCTTTTCTGCTTTCCATAGAAAACAAAGGAGAGGTGACAAGAATTCACATCTCCATTAGATTAAATCACTAGCAAGATTACAAAATGGTGGTTGATGTTCACATTGGCAATTTACAGGATACAGCAAAAAGGATGATCACCAGCTTTTAACAATTAAATCTCTACTCCAACTGCTGTCATTTTCATGAAACTTGCACAGTGCATGGGCTCATATTTTCTAGACAGACTAGTGAAATCTCCTTCAAATTCAATATGTCAAAGCAAGCCCAAGAACAATTACTTAAAAAAAAAATCAATCAGATATTGAAAATGGACAGGAGCTTATGCTAGCAGTGAAGTGTAGGTAAAATCCTCAAGGTCACATTTGACAGAGTTTCCATCAAATTTCATTCCTCAGGTTGAAATTTCTTGGAAATAGTATGGATTCGATTTTTCCAAATGGATAGTAAATGAGTCAATAAGTATCAGTGCAGAGGCTTCTTCCTAAGTTTCTTCAGATTATTTGCTGCCTTACCTTGAAAAAGGTTCAGGCAAAGTGTAATCTATGACTGGAAATTAGCTCATGGCTGTGTTTTGCAGTATGAATTTGCATGAAACATCACAAAGGTGTTGGAAACATGTCAGACCATGCATAAGCAAGTTTCACATGTAAAAAATACTTCAGTTGAGAGTTGGGGCTTTCCTTCTTTTTTACACAACATAAGGAAATTCCTCAATAGTCAAGTTTTGCCTGCCCAATGAACCCCATTAACTAGGGCAAACCATATTGTGAGAAGTGAGGAGAAGATTGGGTTGAAGAGGAGAAAAAGCCATTGCTTGAACGGAGAGCTTCTGTGCTCGGTCATTAGGGATGGGCACTTTTCCAAATGGGATCACTCCATCAGTGAAGGGAAAATCTAGGTAGTCCTCTTTATTTGCTTGGTTGTCATCCATCATCTGGCTCTGTGTTCGTTCTTCCAGTAGGCTCAGCATCACCTGCATAATTGACACATTTGAGGGGTGTTAGCATAATAATGAGGTGGCCAGTTGACTCATCTCAGTAACTTTGAATATTGTCCTTCACAGTAAGGTTCGTACTCTCTTTTATGAAACAAAGTGTCATGTTTTTCTCCTGCTGCTTTATATTTTAGGAGCCATTCAAAGAAGCATCTTGAGCTTAAACTTTGCACTCTTCTTTTAAATGCAGGTCTTAGATGATAAGGATATCAATATGTGTTATTAGAGGTTGGAAGACTTGAAAATTAAAAGCAGCAGCCCTATGATCACCCTTCTCCCATGTCATCTTCGATGGGATCCCATTCAAGCACAAAGAGCAATCATGGGAATCTCCTCAAATCTGACACAGATAGCATAACAAGAGGAAGGAAAAGAGCCTCCTGCTTTCCATGCTTATGTCATGGCAATCTGTTCACTCTCCCCTTTTGAGGCAGATATAGTGGCCAGCCCCATGTTTTGCATTTTACCACCACCCACCACAAAAGCCTTCTCAATATGTATGTAACATCTAACATACTTTGGTGCATGTTTATTTCTTTTGCTCACCCTTCCTCTGGTTATGTAGTCTGCATCACCTAAGCCTCATTGACCTGTCTGTAGGGACATGTTCCTGGGAGAGCCTTGGAGAGTGGCAAAATGCTATTGGGAAACTCTGCTAATATGGGGCACTATTTTTCTTTATACTGGAACCCTCTAGTGTTGACCTCATGGCTCACATATAGATATTCTAATATTGACTGTAACCTTACATTCCATTCTATTTCCAGAATTTTTGTACGTAAATAAATGTGTACATGTTAAATTTCTAAGATGTACACCCTTTCGATATCTGTGTGGAATCACGAGCAATTTTGGGGAGTAAACCTCAGAAGAGTCAACGAAAGGAGAGATTATGATGCTTCTGCTGCTCTTGGAGCCATTTTTACAATCCCTCACCTTCATCCTAAAAAGAATACACAACTTCTCTGTTTATTTTTGTACTTGTCATATCACTTTGGATCTTGCCACTACCCATATCCACCTGCAAAGTGTCAAGAGCTTAAAGAAAGGTGAAAAAAAAGCATGAGAATCAGTTTCCATATAAAAGAGGTTCTAAACCTGACACCAAGGCATAATTAGCAAATTATCTGACTTAGATGAGCCAGACAATTCTGCCAAGATACATCATTATTTTGTGAGTTCTTAATGTATATTTCTTCAGGAAAGTTTTACCTTGAAAATAAAACAAACATAACCCACCTGTCCAGCAGATAAAATGAATTGAGCAAGTCTTGAGCCATTGATAGCAGAATCATCAGTATCTCCATGGAATGTGTCTTGTTCTCCAAAGAGGTGAACAAGAGGGAGTTTGTGGGAGGAATGTAGATGATCATCTGATCCTTGTCCAACTCCCAGGTACTCTTCTTTCGAAATTCCATTTTCACTTTCTTTTGGGATTTGAAATGAGACTGGGAACTGGGTCCACTTGCTTTCCATCTGGATTTGCTCTGTATTGATCTCTTGGGTTTCATGGTCTTCTCCTGTCTGAGTTGATGCCTGAAAGTACCAAATTAATCTCAATGCTATATCTGACTCACGTGTCCTTTGTGCTTAACATTGTGTACTGTGAATGATGACTGTGAATGTGTACTGTGAATATGATGGCACCACAGATGGAAGATGGGAAATACCTGAATGTTATTCGATTTGCCAAAGTACCGCATGAACGTCTCATATCGAACGGGAGGAAGGGAGAGAAGATTGGCTGAGGTGACATCCAGCTGGATGATTTCAAGAAGTTCAACAGCCCTTCGTTGGGCCCTGGAGACACCTGCATTCCGTCGGCTCTGGGCTTTGGCTGAAGAGAAGTTGTAGCCCTGAGTCATACTCCCCATACTGCTCACACTTGCAGCTGTTCCAATTCGAGATTCCTCCTCCTCCTCTCTCTTTCTGTATCTTTCATTCATTGGTGCTACCCTATGAAACAAAGCCCAAAGATTGCCCAGTACAAATGACATGACTCAAACATTTTAGCATGAGCACTCAATATCCTTACATTCTGGATTGAATTTTGAGGACAGACTCTCGTTCATTAAAATCTTCTTCTCCTGCACTGAAATGCCCTGAAGAATGTCCAGAATCTACCGGTTTCTCCACTCCCTCTCCATCTCCCTCACTGTCATCTCCTTCGTCTTCCTCGTCATCATCCTCGCTGTCTTCTTCGCTATCGTATGATTCAAAGTCCGACTCGTAGTCCTGGGAAGGAAACCCCCAAAATAGAATTCTCTATCATCTTTTCCAATTGATCTTACAGTCTATGCTGAGGATGCACCTCAAAGTCATCTTCATAGTCATAATCCCCCACTTCTTCTCCTGTGGCTGGGTTGTCTGATTCTGCCTTCTTTTCTTCCTCTTTTACCTCTTCAACTGCACTGACCACTGGTTCAACTTGTCTGGGACTCCTTGGACTTTCTGTGTATCATATGGGAAACAACACATATTAGTGATTCTTTTTGTCTCTGGGAATTCAAATATCAAGGAAAGGCCCACACCCTTTATCACAGAGGAAGGCGCAGGTGAAACTTTGGGAATAGAGGGAGCTTGTTTTAGGGTAGTGTTATCTGTTCTTGCTTTTCTCTTTGACTCGGAAGTATTTGAAGTCAATGATTTTGCAGGATTAATCTCAGCAGGTTTCCTCAATGTCCTTGGGTCTGGCTTTGGGACATCCCTTCCTTTTGTGGTTGCCTTCACATTCTTAGCAGGTTTTGCTACCTTTACTGGCTTGGATGTAGCTAATGAAGCATTTTTTGTCTTCTCTGATGCCCTGGCAGGTGAAGGTCTTGATGTTCCCTGTGCCCTGCGAGGCGCTTGATCAACCCCTCCCCCTGCTCTTCCCTCTCTTCTTGGGCCTCTAGCCTGTCATTCCACACAGAGAATACCTCAACATTAAACTTTGCATGAAAAGCAGACCAGAGAAAAATGGAGAAAGCCTGACCCTGGTCTGAGGGGTAGACATCACAGCACATCACAGTTTTTGAAGGTTTCTCTGTATACCTGGAGAATAAAGTCACTAAAGAGTTATATTAAAGATATACTACTGTATTACCCCACATTTTGCAGTGTGCCATTTTGAACAAGGTGTTCCATGGTGGTTTAACCTCTGGGTTAGTTGCTAGGTCAGCAAAAGTGATTCTCGGATTCTCATATTGTTTCTAAAAGGAGAAAGGAATAGCATGGAAAATTCCCCCATCACTTAGGATGAATTCCTAAATATGCTCTCCCAGTGGCACAGCTACCAAAGGTAGAGGTGGAGTGGTTGCCCCAACTGTCTTTGTTAGACACCAGGAGGTCTAAAAATTTTTTTAACCAATTCAATAGAAGTATTTTTTACTTGCATACTTTTATGCTACCATGGCAATAAGAAGCAGGGAAGCATAATTGGATTAAAGATAGGGCCCCAAATGAAATATTCCCTTCACAATATCAAGAGTGGTGATATAGCCAGGGAGGATGAAGAGATCAAAAGCAATGTTAGATACAGGGGGGGGGTCCCTGAAATTTCAATATAAATTAATGTTTCATCTTACAGAGCAGTCCTCAGAGGCTCACAATGAGCGAGGATATTTAGTTAAATCCAACTTCAAGCTGCTCAAAAACACAGAGTGGTCCTTCACCTTTCACATCACTAAAACATAACAAGTGGGACCCCTACTGCAAAGAGTTCCTACACCCCAAAAATGAGACCTTGGGCATGCCACTGCATTGATACAAGTTGAAATGATGTCTTTGGAGTAGAGCTATGCCTCTTGAAAATTCCTGGGCATATTGCTGTACTTTTCTCCCACAGTTGAAACCAATTTGATAAAAGGTTGAGACTTGCCTTACCTAAAACTTCTGGTATCAGACTCAATCTATTCTCCTATCTTATGCATTTGTTTCCTCATGTAATCTCTCCCCTGTTACTCTGACTACTGTGCACACCTAGAGCTCATTAAATTCGTTTTTGCATGCTTGCAAAATATATATATATCAGTGTGCTGTTTTACATGTTATGCTTGCAAACTTCAAAATCTGGCAAACCTAGTTCATACTGGCATGACTAAAAATGTAAAATAATGCAGTCAGCACCTTCTTACCATGCAGCCCTTGATGTATAAATTATTTTTATTCAATAATAATCAGAATGTAAGAGCTCCTTATCATCAATGATCAAATCACTTGCTTTTAGAGTTCTCATTAATGAACTGATGAATGAACTAATGCAAGTCTGAACTGGGAGACTTTTGCACATCTCATCCTGCAAGTGGTTACACTCGCAGATTCAGACCAAGCAGAAAAAGTTTTACTTCAGAACAAAAGCACAAACAAGGGCATGCAATATCACAGGTCATGACTGGAAAATCTCATTTATTAATATTAAACTTTGCTTATAGGAAAAAGATGGAAAATCACAAAAAAGAAGGCACAATAGGTCCTTTCTCAATATGAAAGACACAAAAGGAAGATAAGAGGGAACTCTAGATGGGAGTGAACACAATATGAAGAGGCTGATCTGGGAACAGTAAAGTCTCGTAGATTTGTCCTAGGCTTGGTTCCTCCAGGGGATAAGAAAGCTGGAAGGTCTTCATTGTGTGCATTAGAACCAAATATAAGTCCTGCTCTGCAAAGCGTCGCCCTGCAAGGCAGAACAGAGAACCATCAACATGGGGGTCACCAGATAAGTCTCTCTTGTGAAATAATAAATTTACAGAAAAAAAGCACATGTTGATAATGTGATTGAGTGTATTTGCTATGTAACCTTCTATGCATGCAACCTCTAACTTCACACACATCTCTCACAGTGGACTGGAATCTTCATCCTTACAGATTTCTTTATTTTCAAGAATAATGACAAGTTAAATGGAGAGATGTGAGATGAACAGGGAGAGAGGACTTCCCACTCTCAGAAAATAATTTACTGCAATCCTCAGAGGTTGTATAGTCTGAAAATGATTTTTTCTCCCTTTATGATTCATGAAACAGAGAGAGAAATGCTTGTAGTCAGGTAGAGCAGATGTGAAAGGCATTCACAAGAGGCCTATCCTTCATCATTGGCCAGGTAATGTTTTTCACAACTGTACACTTGCATAACACTAGTACTGTACTTTTTATCTAATATATCTCACCTGCACACATCCTGGTACCAATGCCAAAAGGGGTGAGAAGATATGGATGTACAGTCTCTTCTTCTGGATGGCCTCGTATCCAGCGTTGTGGTCTAAACTCCTCAGGGTGTTTGAATGTGGAGGAAGAGCGAAAATGGACAAACTGGTTGAAATCAACATGGGTGTTGGCAGGAATCTGGTAGCCAGCCAAAACCAGATCTTTTTGGGTGATACGGGACACTTCTGTCCCAATAGGGAACAGCCTAAAAAAGAAAGCAAGTGGCATCAATCTTCAAGATGGAAGGGAGGTCATGGATATCAACAGTAGAATGCAACCATACCTGAAGGTTTCCTTCACGCAGGCTTTGAGGTAAGTCATCCTATTTATGATTTCAGCTGTGATGGGCACATCAGAAGAAGGAAAATTTTCATGCACCTCCCTCCTCAGAGTCTCTTGTGCTTCTGGGTGAGTTGCTAAACAATATAGGTTGAAGAGAAGTGCTGGTGAGGTCTGTAATGGATTTCAGAGAACTCAACTGGGTCCAACTCACTGAAGAGAGAGAGAGCTAGGTTCATGACAAAGTAACTTACTGTGCTGAGACCATCAGCAAAAAGGGATAGTGTGATTATGAAAACATCCTTCTGACTCAGCTCTTCCCGACCCAACAGATAGGAAAGGAAGGAATATCTGTCCTCTGGCAAAGTCCCACTTTCCTTCAGCATGTTGTGAATCTTTCCAATTGTTTGTTCCACCAACAACTTGGCCTCTCTTATAGAAAAATGGAAAATAGACTGCTTTGATTCTGAATAAAAGCTTCACCTAATTCTTTGCCAAAACATATCATTTGATTTTTATATGGCTCACCTGTAGAAAAAGTCTTCTGCTCTAACTAACTGATTCCACCGAGGAGTTGGCAGGAATGCATAGAAAGGCAGAGAGAACTTCAGATCACCAGAAAGCTGAAAAATGGTCTTGTTTGCCTCTACCATTTGCTGGCCCCATTCTTGCTGCCTTGCAGTTCCATCCATACAACCAAGACGAGTCTCATAGCAGATCATTCCAGATGCTAAAATCAAAACAAGGAAATCAGAGTTGATACTCTCTTTCAAGTAGCACTTACTGTTTTATAATTTTTTTCAGTGAACAACATACATTCAAGTGACCAGCGAGCTACCTCACTTCGAAGGTCATGCACAGTTCCATCTCCTCTTCTCACTTTGCAGATGTGGTCAACAAAGTCTTTAGCAACTTGATTCACTAGTGGAAGGAAATGTCGTACTTCTTTAGGTCTGAGCATCATCTGCTGAACGGCACTTCTGAGGCGATACCACTCTTCATGATTCCTGTGAAAACAGTTGGCATACCAACATACAGACCATGGCTATCCATGAAAATCAATGTTGGCAAGTAACTGCTTGACTACCTACGTATTCCCAAGGCCAAGGGAAAGTTCCTTTTGCTTCCTGTACAACTGAGTTGTTTCTTGTAGTGGAGGAACAACTGGCATCTTCCCTTCATGTTGATATACCGTTTTCACATCTTCAGGGTCGAAAAGATGAACAAGCAGCCGTGGTCCAATTTGTTGCCTTGCTATTGGCCCATATTTCAAATGGAGCTTTTTCAAGACCTTGTGATACTGTTTCACTTTGAATTCCCCTGTTCATATATGAAAATGCAAAAGAATATATAGACCAGGCAACAAATAAAGATGGGTAGGCCTATCCCTATGCAGTTCCAGTTACAGTTCACACAGCTGAAGGCCAAATAGAATGAAATAAAGAGGACGATGTTAACTCTTGCTCTAAACCACCAAAAGAGTTTGGTGAGACACAGGTCATAGGTGCACTCACCAGATTTGTATTGCAGGAGATTCCCAAACAGAGGTAGCAATCCTGGGCCAGGTACTTGGGAAAATGGTTTTGCATGGTTCCACTCGCTGACGATCCCAGAGGAAGTACTCCGGTATACATGCTTTGCCAGCAGAGGAACATCTTTTGGCGTCAACCAACCCTTTTGCGCGAACAAAGGAAATGCCTTCATCTCATGTGGGTTGCTTCTTCGTAATGTGAAGCGTATGAGCATCTCCTCCACCTCGATTCATTCAGGGTTAATCCGCAATAGGTACACCTATTGAAAAAAGAAACTCCTCGGTCCAGCAGGCTTAGTCCAGTACTGACCTTGGGTTCGTGTTACAGTAAGCACGCAATGCTACTGGAAGGTGCATGAGAAGCACGCGGATCGATTGCACGCAGCCATGGACACCTCAACACCGGCATGACGTCATTTGCGTCTTCTGCTCTTTCGAGGTCGTCTGCTGGGAACTTTTCGGAATGCAACTCGACGATAGATGATAGTCGTTATTTTTCCTGGACAACCTGTATCAAGCTGCTACTGAGGACCTAGAATTCCTTTCCCACGAAAGAACTGGAGGCGTATCTTCGTGCGAGAAGGTCTACAAGAACTCGTCCAACCGGATCAAGTATCACTCATAAAATCTAAATTTCTTATCTTGTTTATTTGCTCGCTTAGATGGTTTCATCGACTTACTACAAATTAAAGCCTGCCATCGTCGAAATGAATTGCAGTTCGCTCTAGTTGTTTCCATTTCTTGAAGCAGATAAATGCCAGACAAAATGTAGAGCCACGATGTGCTGCCCCCTCCAGGGAAGGCTGCCAAGTATGAGAAAGGAGCAGAGAACTTGTGTCCCAGTTTCTCACAAATACCCGGCAGACATTCACATTCCCTCGTGAACCGCGGACCTGTTGCCAGTGCCAGAGCCAGACCTCCTCCCCCTCTCTCTCTCCCCTCCTTGCTACACCTCATCGTAAAAAGAAGCGGTGCCCCTCCCTCAGAGGACACCTGCTAAGAAGTTTCCTCTCTTTTGAAGTGTTCGCAACCTTTCCCCGTTGTTAGTGGCAAGAAACCACATACCAACAGTGTAAATAAGAGTGCGAGCGACTTCCTGTGTGAAACCTCGAACCGCAGTACCGATATTTATTATTTATTTGTGACATTGCGCAAGCGCGCAGCTGCAGCAGACGACGAGAGTCAGCTGATGCGAAGTGACGTCACGTCTGTCGTCTTCCAATCATGAGGAGGGAGACTCAGTTCAAGATGGCCGACAACAAGGCTGGGTACATCACGAAGAAGGTCCAAAAACAAGCCAGCAGGGCCAAAGAAAAGGTCAGACTTCTGTACTTTTTGCATCTTCGTACTCTTAACTTGAGTCACATCACGGCCAAAGTGGAAAAAAGCCGATGAACTCTGAGACTCAGTATTTCTACTGACATGGCCCTGCCATCAAGAGCCGGTGCTGCTTTATCACGTTGAGGGATCACGTGAATTTTTCACGTGAGCCGATCCGTACTGAGAACTCATTGAATTTGAAATGTTAGTGCCTGAATACTCATTCCTATGAGCCATATTGATTTATGAAAAAAACTTCTCTGAAGGAACAAAAATACTAACTTGTCTTAATGCAGGTCTCCTTAAAAAATTGGTCACTATTTGGTAGGTGGTTTTACCTATCACATTTATCGTTTTATTTCACTATGTCTAAACTTTCCATATTCTATTGAAGTATCATACCCTCCATTTTGTGAAAATGGTTTTACATTTTTTTTGGAAAAAAAATGAAAGATAGACCCAAGTGGTTAGTTCAGATCAGATGGCTCACAACTAACCAATGATCATGTCTGGGTCAGAAGTTGTAACCAGTACATCAACAAAGCTGAGCAGCAGGTAAGTCTTATCAATGCTGCATTTGTGGTGAAACCCCAGACTGATTTGTCCTCACAATCCACCCAGGGTATGCTTTTCGGGCTTGAAAGAAAAGGGCCCATAAACAAGGTGGTCCCTAGGCTACAAAGTCTCCAGATTTAGAGTTGGCCTAAGTATACAGCCATCCATGGATCACATTTCTCAGTAAGAGTCATTCTTTAACTATCCCCGATGTGGAAGCTCAGAGCTTTCATGACTAATTGGGATTTGTAAGGGAAGGGGCTGGATGGAAAGTTTTCCCTTATACCTGATTTATTAATACTTAGTATTCATTTTCATGCATCAGTCTAATTTAAAGCAATGCTAGTCAAATAGCATTTTAGGAAAGCCTTGTGTAGAATATGTGGCAATTAACACAAAATTTTCCTAAAGTAGAAGAAAGGATAGATGAAATTAGCAGCCCTACCTAAATTTCTAGTGTGTATGACTGTTAGATATTGGGAGAAATGAAGCTAAGTTCCATGTGAACTCATACATGCTTAGCAAGACTTAATGCTTATATAGAGATCATTCTCTTGCAGTTAAGCCAATGTAAAGATCTGGTTTTAAAGTCTAAAAATCATCTTATGTAAGCCCCTGCAGGCAATGTACTTTATTATCCATGCATGACTAGCAGTGCTTGCTGGCTGGTAATGCCCATGAGTTATTAAAGGCCTACAACTTTTAGGCATGTGGATTGAGGTCAAGAAGACTCTGATATCAAGAGATAGTGTCTACAACTCAGGTAACATAAGCTTTGGTGTATTTTCATTGAAATTTCTAGCATTATGAAGGCAGATACTTTTGAAATCGCAGGTTTTATTATTTTTATATTAGAATTTAACCATTTATACTGGAACTTGGGAAGCTCATCAAACATGGGCTATGCTGACTTGATCAGATCTTCTCTGTGCTGTTTTTATGGTCTTTGTTTAGTGTCTTGGTGTCTTTTTTTCATCTTTGTTTAGTGTCCTCCAACTTCTAATGTTTCGAACCATGGAATTTTTCCTTCATACCAATTACTTTCTGTCAACTTAGCCCAAATTAGGGATTTTTCTTAAAGAGCAGGGACTGGTAATGATTTTTCTCTCTTTCACCCAGTTAGGGCAGCCTTGGGGTTGCCCTCATGGTGATGGGAAACCTTGAGAGTAAATTCAGGGCTCATTCATGCCTCCCTGGTTTCCCTGACCTCTGTCCCATTTGTACCATGCCCTCCTTTGTACCGCTTGGACAGGACCCTGCCTCTTTCCGGTATTGGTATCTGTCAATGTAGAACTGGAGAGAGAGGGAGGGGGGGAGGAATAGAGTGTGGAAACTTCTTTTTTTTTTATTCTTTAAGAGGGAATTCATGGCAGTGATGTTGGATCTTTTCCAATTTCTCGACTCACCTCTTGTGGCGCATTGCCAAAAAATGTCCGCCCTCGTTTTCCGATGCTTGCTACCGTACAACTGTACGGTACTGTTCCTTCTACTGCCTCGCCTGTAGAAACATGTTTGTAATATATGGAATGAAAGGTCGGGGAGGGCTCAAAGAGGAGATCCTTGAAGAATGAATACATATATAAAAATCATGGGTGAATTGAGAATGGTTTGAGCTGTAGACGTTCGATATGTACGTGAGGGACAGAGGTACCGGTATTTTCCCTAGCTGCTTCATTGAATTGGACGGGACCTGGTCGTGACTGGGCCGAGAGAAAGGCAGCGGTCGCCTTGGTTGGCTTTTCCTCGATTGTTCTCCGTGCCCACACACTCAGCATACATGATTCGACTGACAGGGTATCCTGACCTCAATTGAATATGAATGAGAGAATGAAACCGGGTCCATAGTAAAGCCTGTCGCCTTCGTTACGCCATTCCGTATGCCCTTTTCGGTCTCCTGGCTCAGATGAAAGAAGAAGCCCATAACGATGTTATGGGTGGGGGGTGTTGAGAATAAGTATGGGAGATGAGAGGTTTTCCGGGGCATTGCCTCTGATAATTGGATGAAATGTAGGAGAGAAAAGAGAGGGAGGAGGGAGATTCACCGCGTAGTCTCTCCAGTCCCCATGCAATGCTATATGTGGGTATAGAGGGAGGAGGGATGGTATCTCCCTAAAAGGCGAAGACAATTCATGCTTGCCTCTCTACGCCATGCATGGCCATCTCCTTTTATGGCTTCTCTTCGTCTTAACCGGTTAGACGAAGACAAAAGCCTTTACACGAACTGACTTCTCGAAGGAAAAAGTCGCACGTGTCACATCACCTAATGTTATCTTTTCTTTCAAGACTCCCGTGAAATGGCGAACGAGTGTGAAGTAACATAGGGTGGTCCCTCCACCTTTCTCTTTTTTCATAATTTACCCCGAGGTACACTTGAGCAACGGATCGCTTGAGTCCCGTTGGAATTTATTCCATGAGAGCCGGGAAAGGTATGGGAACTCAAGACTCAGTTGGGGTGGGATGATGGAACGGAAACGCAGTGGTTTCCTGGGAAGGAGACGGTTTACTGGCTCGGGAAATAGCCCAGCTGGGAATATCCGTGGCTGGGAATGATGGAAAAATGGCCGTGGATACCCAGGCCCCGTCTCATTATCCTCGGGGGTTATTCCTAAGGGAAGAGAGAGATAGAAAGAAGTCCGTCGTTTAACGGGTGTTGCGGACCAAGTGGGTCAGGCCATCCTCATTCATCAGGCGACTGAGTATAACTATCCTCAGAGCCCCACCTCACTATGTTCACATTCCATGGGTCTCCAACAGGTTCCTCGTATATCCGAGGAACTTGTATTCGTTCTTGATGAGAAGGATGATGGTGCGGAGCTGCGGGTCACGTCGTCGTTCCCGACCCGCATCTCATTTGTAATTTCTGGAGGTCGGGCTGGGGGGGGGGGAGGAAAAAAATTTATTTATGAGGTCGATCTGCTGACCCACATCCTTATCAACACATACTGTGCATTCTCCTCTCTTTTCCTCGCCTCCAGGCTTATCTTGCCAGCCCCGTGTTTCTCTTTTTCCTTCGCCGAAGAAAAGGCAGCCTTGCATTCTATATGGTCCTTTCGGAAGCAACCAAGGGCGCGGAGAAAAATGCCTCTCCTTATTAGGATATCCTCTCCCCCTAATTCCTCATTGTCACTTATCTCCTATTTCTCTCATCCCCTCACCATATTAGACAAGAAGCCTTCAATCTGTAACAGTGGTTTTTAAATTTCCTGTCTCCTTGCCTCCTATCATTAATGTCGCCCGGAGTGATCCCTCCTCATCTGCTGCATTCTTCACCTCTAGTTTCTTTTCCTGGAAATAGTGGCCAAAATGGCAACGCAGGAAAGATATATTGATTCATTAACTATTCAGAATCTACCCCAGAACCCTTAAAACTAGGTGATTACCAGGTATATCGATATGCGCATGGGAATATTCGCGGTGTCAGTCGATTAGAGAAAGAAGGTTGCCGAGCTGTCGTATAAGATAAGGATAAGGTAATACTTAGAGCTGCAAACTGGTTTAGGCGAGTTTTTTAATATTTGATTATATATCTATGGTTTTTTTTTTTAAAGCAAATTTTAGTTTTCCTTCTCTTACTGTTCATGAGAAGGTACTTTTCGGAAACTCTTTGATTGGGCGTCCGTCTCTCTTGATGTTTTCAGAAGAGTGAGGGGAATTATTTTTGAAATAAGGACCAGGGAGGGGGAGCAGCGCAGAGTGCCAGCAACCTGTTGAGGCCATTTCCTACTCCCGTAGCTTATAAATAGATCCTTCTCACTCCTCCCTTGAGAAACATGGACATTCTCAGCCTGAGCTATAGCTTCTCAAGGGCACGGGGCACACCCTTTTCATTCATTCCAGAAATTATTCCTTAATCCCCTCCCATCCATCACCATGGGGGGTCTATATAGGCTCTCTTTTTCTGTCGATTGAATCTCAGTTGAATTACTTCTAAGGACCTGATTATGCAATCACCGCTGTCACACCAAGGTGATTGCACCCCCCCGAGTGACTCTTTATCATATCACCTTTGCCCTTCAGCACGTCATCCATCAGCCATTGGGATGATGGAAATTCGTGGGATATGTCCCAGCTCTCACGTAGTTGTAAAAAGGGCTCTTGTATAAGCCCAATTCATGACTGTTCGAAAATTCCTTCCTTCTGTTATGCCTTCTTCGATTTGCATTCAATTAATTGGTTTTACTTTTTTCCCACAGATCTTGCAAAATTTGGGGAAGGCAGATAAGACCACAGATGAGATCTTTGATGACTATGTCCATAACTTCACGAAGCAACAGAGTGGTGCTAATCGTCTCCATAAGGAGATCAACAATTACGTACGATGTGTTCGAGGTGAGATGCAGTTTCCCATCGTCTCGGTCGACCGACTGTACCCCATTCATGGCCTATTGATGAATTCTCGCGGATGTCCTAGCATTAATCTCCCACGTTCTCTTCTCGGGTTCCACCAGCCATGCAAGCTGCGAGCAAGAGCCTCTTCGATACGGTGAACGAGATGTATGAGCTAGAATGGACTGGCCGAGATGTAATGGTCATCCAAGCTCAAAACTTGGAGATGCTCTGGGCTGATTTTTCTCAAAAACTTACCGAGCAAGTCCTCATCCCTTTGAATAACTACATGGTCCAATTCCCTGAAGTTCGGGTAATTATAAATCTCTGCTTTCCGCAGATTTTTCTTTCATGGCATTTTCATTATAAACGATTCCTATTGGATTATCTTTTCTTCAGCAAAAAATTGAGAAGCGAGGCCGGAAGCTGCTCGACTATGACAGTCAGCGACACGGATATGAAGCGCTGCTCAACAATACCAAGAAGAGGGATGAGATGAAGATAGCTAAGGCAAAGGACCAACTGGATGATGCTCGCAAGCTCTACGAGGTCCTCAATACCGAATTACACGAGGAGCTCCCTTCTCTATACGACTCTCGTATCCCGTTCCTGGTCTCTAACTCACAGACCCTCTGCTCTGCTGAAGCCCTTTTCCATGTTGAATGCTCCAAGGTATGACTAACCCAATCAGTTTTTTATTCCGTGAGTAAAACGTGAGCGATGCGATTCTTGATGAAGAAATCAGGATGCGTTCTATAACCAAATTTCCGCGCCGTTCTCCTGTATTCAGGTACATGGTGAGTTAGAGGCTGTGATGGAGAAGCTGAACAAAGAGGCTCGAAGTGGGGGCTATAATGTGAAGCGCCACCCACCACGCTCACCTCGTACCCCAACCAGCTCACCCACCAGGTAGATTATAAACTCCCTTTTTGTTTCTTCACTCTTCACAGAAAACTATAAGGAATCTTCTATTGATGCATCATTTGATTTCTTGATTAGGAAATCCATAGGTATGGTTCATGGATCTCCAGGTTCCTCCCCCTCCAAGCCAGAGGGAAATCAGCAGCCATATGAGGAGATCCCCGACAATTACAAGCCCAATGAAAATGGAGAACTTTCCCCTGGTATGGCTAATAGGCTTTATGGGATGTCATTAATGCTTGTTGATGTGCAAAGCAAACAGAAGGATGATTCTGACTATTGCAAGGTGTACATCAGTTCCCCAACATACTCTTTTGCATTCTATGCTGCCAACAGTGGAATGGCTAAGGAATATTCTTAAGCCCATGATTGTCAATTTGCAAAGAGCCAAATAATTTTGCAAATTGTAGTGGTCATACTCCTGTCCAGCATGGCAAAAGTAAGTAAATTGGAAATGTAAGAATTTATTATTTAATCTTCTGCTCAGTATCTATGTGGTGGATTTAAAAATTAGCAATCAGTACAGCATAGCTCCTTCTGTCTATGACCAGCACTGTAATGCTGAGTGCTTTAATAGCTATGTTTATTTTTAACCAGTGTGAAATTTCAGCTTTGAGTCTAATTTCATTAATTGTTCCAATACTTTTCTTTTAGTCCAGTAGGTTGAATTAACTGATTGGTCAGTTCCTCAAAAGATGAGCCTCTCTTGAACTAGCTGCATCCACATAGAAGTTGTATTTATTGAAAGGGCTGACTATCCCTAGCCTTCTTGAAACTGCTTATGAATGCTGGCAGTTATTATCGCTTTCACAGGTAAACAAATTTGACAACAGCTCCTTGTTCTTTTTAAAAGTTATCCATATGCAATCTGTTTATTCAACCAACTGTACTGATAAAGTCTTTAAGAAATTAATGACATTAGATGTGAAGCTGAAGTTCACACAGGTGTTGAATAAACATAGCCCTTAAAGAGCAGTTTGTCTGGGAAATGTGTAAAAATACCTTCACTTAACTTTGATGAGTGAGGTGGCCATACTGATGGTCCACCACAATGATTCAGTGTTGAGGAAACATTGCATTGAGGAAGTTATGAACTGGGAGGGGATAATCAAGAGTGGTCCATCTTGTTGAAAGGGTATTCTTGCTTCCAGACCCCCACAGCTTCCAATTGAATAAAGAGAGATGTCTGTAGCATTGTCAGTAAAGGATTCAGACAGGCCTAGTGAATCCTTTTCAAAGTCAATCTGGAAAAGTAAGATATCTTTCAGATTTCAAGGCAAAAAAAGTTTATTTGCTGGTAATCTGCATTCGGCATTTATTTAGACTGTTCTATTGTGCAACTCCTGTTAAATATGAACAATAAAAGTAACTATTAAAAATAAGAGTAACTTTAAATAATAAATTCCTTCATGGGTATGAAGGAATTTATTATTTAAACTTCGTGGATATCCTCTTCCACATGAACAATCAATGATGCAGCTTGCAGAGTTCTGTTTGTTTATTAATAAAAGTTTTTGTTCTCTGGTTAATGGCACAATCTCCAGGTTTGGAAACTTCATGCCAGAAATGTGACAAGTCCCATTACAATAAACCCTTAGAAAAAATCACATAGCACTCCCTTATGTTTTTTGAGTGGCATGATCCTTTTCTATTCATTGTTCAAAGCTTCTTGCTGTGATGATGGCTAAAAGGAATTGTTGGAAAGTTCCTGCCACCTTTGATTTGGTACAAACACGATGACTTGTGCAGGAATTTGCATGGTGATGGTTGAAAGATGCATGACTCCATACCACCCGCTGCTTCTCAAGTGCTCTGTTTTTAATTGGGATGGGACATTATTGATACCATAATACCCAATTTAAAACTATGCCCTATATTGAAAACTTTCTAATCACAATGGTAAGGTTAGGCTGTTCTTTTCTATGGATTTCACTGGGTCAACATTCCTGTAAGATTGTGTGTTCCATGTTATTTGAAAGGAAAAGAATATTAAATACAGCTCTTAATTCCATATTCATTAATTGTTTGAAACCCTTCTAAGAACCTGAATTGGCTGGTTTAAATAAACTTTATTATGGGGTAAGTTGGGGGAATGTGACAGTGGGTGAAATGTGGCCATAAAGGTACATTTCATCCAATAAATCTATGTTTCAAAAGTGATGAAACTTGGATATTGCATGCATCAACATTGACACAATATCATTTGCGTCAATCTGCATGGCTGGCCTAGACTGACTTTATATATGCTTGAGATATGGTTTTCAAAGGTAATCATCAATTGCAAGTCTGGATTTCCCAGCCAATAGTTATTTTTAGTTTTTCAATTTTACTCCATTCATGGTGAGTATAGGAAGTAATTTGTGTTTGAAGCATTTGCATTGGACATTTGTTGAGTTCAAATTCAGTGTTGGTGTTCCGAGTAACATGAACTCCACTCTTTAACACCAGATTTGAACTCACTCTGTGTTGTTGGTGTAACACCAGGTTAAACATGAAATGCCATCTCGATCCCAGATCGATGTTGGTGTGAAGGGGATTCCCTATATTTTACTATGGGGTGTTACACTAATCCCTAGGGGTTAACACCAGGTTGAATTCAAAAGCAGTGTTAGCAGCGAATGTGACTGGCAGAAGGTAGAGGCGAGAGTTGTATGATATTTCTGGGAGACAAAAAGGAAAAAAAGAGTTGAGATATTGTAACCATGCACACATTATATACTTCATACCATGGTGCCTCAGCCGAGGAGCCATCATAATGTTGCTCTACTTCTGTCTCGCTTTCAGGTGAAAATTTGCGACATCATCAAATAATTTCAATGACTTGCAAGATAGTCAAATATGCACTTCTTCATACTCAGAATAGCATACTCTTAAACATCTTGGTGGAAAATGTAGCCCAGATAACTGATATTCTTAGTTGGCCTTAACCCTTTCTGGTCCTTTGTCCAACCTGGCTGGACATGGATGTTTCTGCATTCTGGTCTTATGTCCAACTTGGTTGGACATAGTGACAAAAGTAAAAAGACCAGAAAGGGTTAATGCACAATATAAATTACAAGAGTACAACTGTGAGCTTGAAGCAATGCAAACAATTCATTTATCACCCTGACTATAGCTGAGGTACATTTTACTCTGATGCTGATATTTTTCCTGCTATAGCCAATTGACTAATGGTCAGTTGTAGGTTTCCCAAAAGGAGAATCAAGACCATGTATCAGTACCTCACCTCAAGAAGGGCATTTAAGTACTTCTTCAAATTTTACATGAGAAAGAAAAAACTTCCTCAAAAATAAGTTTTTGAAGTTCAATCAGCTTAAGTACCCTTTTAGAATCCCATTATTCCTAAATGGCTAAAAATATGCAAATGCCCTTTTTGGCAGGGAAAACAGCTTGATGAGCTGAAAATATGCCATTATTCTGGGTTCCATGTCATCGTTAAGGTTGTTACACACATTGCATGTCATGCGTCTTTTGCATTTAGGCTGGTGCCAGCAGACAGATGCATGGGGACATACATGTATCCACTTATATTCAAGGGTTTTTACAAAACGCAGGGCTTATGTGTGGAATTGGGATGGGCTTGATTGAAAACGTGTGCCTTGAGTTTTGTGAAGTTTGGAGACATGCTTACAGACATGCATTTGCATGCATGCTTCTACCTGCCCAAGCAATGATGTAAAAGATGCATGATGCTAAAAGTGCGAAACAACCTTTAGTGTTGGTGCTATCGTTCATGTTCATGTGCTGGTGTTAACACCGAAGCTGATGTTTGGAGAAGCCTCTCAACACTAACACTGGTAGATAACACCAACACCTGATTTGAACTCACCCATTGTCACATCATCTGATGGGACAAATTTTCTTCTGCAGCTACTAATTCAACGGAGTTGCTATTCACAAATGAAGTTCGGGGTAATGTGGCCATATATATTTGGAGGGATATGACCTGTTTATAATTTTGCTCCAATTCATTTTCAGATACCTAGTAAGTATTACTCTGAATAGAGAGCATCTATACAATAAGGAGAATTTGAGTAAGGCTGTTTTAACAGCTGGAAATGAATTTTAGTGTCTACACTGCCTTAAAAGCACATGAAATTCCTATAGAAAGTCTTGTATGGGTTGTGGCTTGATGTACCCACTGTGGTGTGCAGGACATTGAGTTTCACCAGCTAGGACGATTGCTCACACTGGGACAAGAATCAGAATGGGCTTTGGGCAGGCATTTGATTGTACAGGATGATTTTTATAATGTCATTCTATTTGATTGTATTATAACATATCCATTAGAGAGAAACAGAAAACTTAGCAATAGTCACAGGCACATTTGGGAAACTTATTCACATGTTGCAGCACTGTAATGCAGCAATTAGCAGCAAAAATTGCATTGTGATATAAAGTTGACTGTAATGGAGGAGATAAAGATGAGCAGCAATGCATATATCAAATGTACTTTGTAAAGGAGTGATGTGGTCACATTTTCCTCAGTTTGGTGGAATGTGATCCAAGTTCTCCTCTTTCAATCTTTTCACAATAACTTCTTCAAAGTTAAAACAGGTGGTTTTGTTATTTCAATAAGTAAAGGGTACTCCAGGGAGAAGTATTCAGTTTCTTTTTCTTTTCTACCCTATTTAAAATTAGTTGTACACTTCATCAAAGTTGAAATATGGTCACATTCCCCCAACTTATCTTATTTGTGTTTATGGGAGATATTTTAAATGTTATTTGAGGCATTGCTGAAGCTCCAAATTTCCTTTTTATTCATTAGTGAGTTTTGATAACCTTTGAAATATTACAATTTAGGCCTTGATTTTAGTAAAAAGTAGCAGTGAGCTGTTTCCCTAATGTTGACAATATTGCACTTCAGGATGAGACAACATGTTCTAAGGCATTTTGTTGATGTAAAATAATAAGACGAGTGCACATTTCTGAAATTTCCTTTAGGTGATCCACTAGGATTGGATCAATTTCATGCAGTTCTCTACCAGGGAAAGAGTTATGGTGATTCATAGTCTTTCTTTGAACATTATCTCTTTTTTTTTAGGGTTGATTTCTTTGAACATTATCTCTTTTAAATTTTTTTAAGGGTTGCTGGGTAGCTAAAGTTATCCTTATTCCTTTGCTATCTGACTTATCCTTGTTTTATGCATTTCTTAAATAGTGCTGTGCACAAGCTCAGGACTCGTGAAGGAATGCCTAGGATTGCAGCTGACTCTCTCTCCCATCTAAACAACCCCCCCACTGTTGCACATTTACTAATCCGAGTAACCTTTAACATAGGAAGACTCAATTTGACCCTCATGGCAGAGAGGAGAGCTGGGGAGAGGAGTAATTTTCCATTCCCAGCCTCTGCAACTGATAGTGGTCCCACTCAGTCATGAATTTTCATTTCCATTCCCTGTCTGTTCTTGTGACAAACTCTTTCTGTTCCCTCTCACTCCTATGGATTCCAGTCACATGCACTCCTTTTCTCAGAGCATACCTCAATTCTCACTTTAAAAAACTCATAATGGACTATTAACTGTATTCTAAAAATGAAGCCTCATATAATGGCCAATAAGCAGAAGCTAAAAAACAAACCAAGAATAAACTATTTCCAGCATGAGTGCATGATTGTTACCATTGACTCTGATGTTGACATGGTGTTGCCTACTGCTTAAAGAAGTAACTTGAGGGTGAGGGAGGGAGGAAAAAGAGCAAAAGGCCTTCTCCACCATTCCCATTCTTAATTGACATTTTTCTGCTTTGATGGGATTGATTCATATTCCTGCCACTCCTGCAGTTCCAGAATAATGTTGGTTTCTCTTCCTCTCTACCTGTGTCATTCAAATCCCAGGGGTCTCAAACTCCTGGCTTGCGGGCTTCATTCACACGGAAATGCCCTATATACCTCCACAAGTTTGAGACCCCTGCTCTAACCCATGGTTGTTATTTTGGTAATCACTTCTTGGGTTCAATCTTGACTACTGGCATTCTATAACATCCTACTTCTCAAGACAAGAATTCCAAGTGGTTAAATTTTCCTTTCCAAACATGTTGGGACCTGCATAGAGGAAAAAATGCTTGAATCCATTGGATCCATGTCACAGGAGCCTAGCACACTGCTGTTCCAGACACCTGCTAATCTAGATGTTTGTGTTTGTAAATGCTCAGGAGCTCCCATAATTTTAGTTGCATTGTTGCAGAAAATGAGATGTGGAATTCAGCAAGTCTTGAGGCTTTTTATCAACACCCATTTTACTTAGATCTGATCACTGCAGGAGTTGCTTCTGAACCTAGTTGAGAGCGGTGTTGCACCTTTCAAAGAAAAAGTGAGAGGTAGAGAAGCAGCGGGCAAGATGGAACCCTTAAATGTTGCCTTCATCACCTTATCTAGATTCTGTGAGAGTTGTCTAAATCGAATAATACAGAATTCTTTGTGATCAGAGCAATCAATGGAAAGAGCCTCATTTCAATCAAGAAGCTTCAAGGGGGTGGATAAAATGGAATATTTTATGTATAGATAGCCCTTGACCTGTATTTGGATTATCTATGCTACCATGCTAGGCTCAGAGGGCATCAGCAACTTCTGTTGGCCTTAAATTTTGTTGACAAGTAAGAACATATCTAGTTTCTTTAATGGTGATGAAAGGGCCATTGGGTCATCATGGTGTGCAGAATATAACTGAGTACTGGAATATTGGTTGTTTACTGACAGTTCTGAACTTCAGTCACAATTTGATGCTTGGACTACTAATTTGCTACAGTACTATGGAGTGTCATGTAATTTAAATTCCTACTCTTGATGTTCCTCTCTCAGATAAACTCATGCATATGTGGTATTTTGCATGGCATGAGGAATTTACCTAGGCTATTGGATGAATATTAGTGTCATCTCTAATGTGTGGATTATGACCCAGGGGAAGAAGGTCATGGAGGAGGGTCACCTGGGAAATTCCAGGTTGTGAAGACAGCCTCCAATCCCCATGGTGGCCCCCCGACTGAAGTTGTCTACGACATCCCTGTCGGTGAGCCTTACCCGATCACACTAGTTCACTAAGCATGACAATCATGAAAAAAAAGAAGTCTTTGACCCTTTTACCAATCAAATTTTGCATACTTGCTCTCCTTGATCTGGCAAAAAGACTGCTTTCAGAGTGATTCAAAAGCTTCCAGATGCCAGAGGATTTCTAGCATAAGTAATTAACCCAACCTTCGTTCATATATGCCTAAACTGAATAAGAACCATAAAAACATATTGGATTGTTGTCAGCTATTCAGAGTAGATATGGAAAGGATCCCTCTCACAATATGCCATGTTTGTCTGTGGTGGTGCTCATCTTTGGCCATAATCACTTCCAGAGACTCTACAAATTAAGTTTCCTATTCTAAAAACATAATTTGTTCTGGTTTTGCCTGCTTCTTAAGTAATAGATTCAAAATGGATATAATTTGAGGCCAGCATGAGAGCAACAATAGACCTACTTCATTTAATGAAACAAAGATTTATAGTTTTCTTTAAACCTACACTTGTATGTGATATGGTAGCAGGATAATGATAGAAATAAGTAGTGGAATATTTTCATTTGGAACAAAAAATTTTTAAAGCATTTTTTGGTGGAATTTTTTCATTCTGATAGGAGAATCACCATGCTGATATGACATTGTGAAAATGCAAATCCCAAAATATTTGGATGAATTCTAGTAAATAGAGCTTTTTGGAACCACATCCCAGGGAACAGGAATTACTCAAGTCAGTGGGAAATGCTTATAATATGAATGAGACGTTTCCTCTTAACTATTTCATGGACTTCACATACTATTTTTCCTAACCCTGTTTGAAGTGCAATGCGTTGTTGAATCTTCTGTAGGGGATTTCCTGAAATAAATTAAAAGGGCAAAGACCATGAGTGTATGTGACAATCATTCCCCTAGTTTGAAATAAATGCCAAGTAACAATAATTGTTTTATTTGCTACCATCTTGCTCTGAAATTTAGTGTATCTTGCATGGGATAGGATGGAGTCATGCATGTGACCATAATGCCATCTCTTAAATGGTAGGAAGTGACCTTCATGTCTGTGAGTTGTGGTGGAATTCATTTTTGATGTCACACAAATCATATGGAAGTGTCTTCTGTATTTGCAGGAGCCACCACTGATGATCTGCCTCCAGGGGTGCTATATCGAGTACGAGCCACCTATCGCTACCAGAAGGAAGATGTGGATGAACTGTCATTTGACATAGGGGAGATTATTCAGGTGGTGGAGTATGAGGATCCTGAAGACCAGGTGTGAATCATTGTCAATCATTGTGATTGACATAATATTGCCAAAAGTAAAATTGCCCACCCATACAATTGAAAGTTTATGCCATGTAGCATCACCATGGGACTCAAACCACGTGACTGCCTGGCAAAAGTAATGGATGGCACTTCTGTGGTCTTGATTGTCAAGTAACATTTCAACAGCAGTATGACAGGAGCTCACTGGTTTCTATGGGGATATGGTAATTGGATTGCAGTTGGCAGAAGTCTGGTATTCACTCGGTGCATGTATGCTAGATGGGACATTTTAGGTATGGTGCTGCCCATGACTGGGGGAATTCGCACATGAGGAGAATGGGAAAAATCACATCTTAGGATTGCACATGGGACTCCTCCCAATTTCCTCTCAAAACTTAGAGCTACAGCAAAGAACAAAAAGGAGAGCTTCTAACTAAAGTAAGAAAAATGTTTAAAATGTGATAGAGTTGAAGAGTGGGAAAACTCCTAAATTTTTCCAGCTCTTACTACATAGTACATGAGAACACAGGTTACATCCAAGACTCATATCTTCAATTATGCTTCTCCTTCAAAGGAAATCCTCATTTTCTTTAGAGCCACTCATTAATGCAAGAATTTCCATGAAATCATGGGCCTCAGTGATGTACATGTGCATGATATGAGTTGGATAATAGTAATAAGTTTCAGTTTCTTATGGAATTCAATGCAAAAGGAAACTGCTTGATACTTGATGTTGTGATTCTCATTGCCTCTGTATCCTCTTAAGTGCTGCTAGCTTCTTTAATTTTAAATCAATCATGCTACATGAGTTTTATCATAACCCATATCAAAAACCCTTTTTGAGTTAATAATAAAGTTCTCTTAATATCATGTCAAGGATTAATATTGGCTATTTTTTCTGCAACAGCAAATATAAAGTCTGATTTTCATAGGCCCATGGAAATCGAAGGCCTAGACTGAAAGTAACATTGACAGGCCTTTCAGGCTGCTTGGATACTTGGAAGTAGAAACTTCAGACCGTTGATTACATACTACATATCATTCTTGGCCTGAGGAAATCCCTCTGACTGAGAAAAAGAAGCATTTTCTTAGGAAAAACAGTCTCCAACTGCATGTTTCCATAAGAAATGTATTGAAGCTTGCATGCTTGACTCCCCCCCAGCTCATTTTTATTCTTCTTGCTATCAGATGTCTCCAACTTAATGCACCCAGCAAATAGCTAATGCTGTTTTCATCCTGGCTTTACCATGTGGAGCTTATAGTCATGGCAAAATGGAAATCTCATTGATGCTGGTAACATTTTCCAGCATGAAGGGGATTTCAGGCTGTCTTTTGTGCTGAGGGAAGCCAAATGCCATATTATAGTGCAATGAAAAAAATGTTTCAATTCTGTGAGGCACAGAGAATTACAAAATGAATTTGATATGAAATTTTTGTTCATATCCCTTTCACGCATGGTGTAGACAGTCAGCAAAGTGGATGGCACCATTTTTGCTGATGATAATGGATTTTTGGAAGTACACTTACCTCAAAACTTTTGTGTATGCAGTCAACTCAAGGGCATGTAATCTCTTCTGTATTGCCTTCTAGCAGTGAAACATGTGACTACTACAGTGGAGTACCTCCTTAATCATTAAACCCAAAAAGGCATATTTTTATTTTGCTCAAAAAATTCATACATGAAAGGGATATGCTGCATACAAGATGGTCTAGGTTCAGATTAGAAACTTTCAAAACTAAAAGAAAAGGCTGAAAGTTAGGATTTTGCAAAGTTTTGTTGCCATACTGTACTAGATGAGCAATGAGCAGTTAGCTCTTTTAAAATAAGAAATGCCATTGAAAACACAAATAAAGACCTATAATATTTTTCCCAAACAGAATTTCCTCTAGTTTTGCAGAATTAAGTATTTAGCCAAAGTGGAACTATTGAGTTCCTGCTAGTGTCAGGGTTCACATCTTGGTATGACTTCAGCTAGCAAAAAACTATTCTCTTCATTGTTGACTTAAGGGCAGCCTGACCCTTCTTCCACAAAATTTAAAAGATTGGAATGTCATGCTTTCTGCAGTGCATTTCCCCCATACTAATCCACAGGTATTGGGAGCCATTGTTGGAATTGTGAATTAACAAAAGTCACCCTTTTAGAACTTTCAAATTGGTACAAAAAATCCATAGTTGCAACTCACAAGACCTGTAGAATAATTGAGGAGTTCTCTGGAAAAAGGGTGTATGTGCAAAATATAAAATTCGAGACAAGCGGCAAAAACTTCTCTGAACTAATCTGAGGCTAGTCAAAACTCAGTTTTCAGTCAAATGATAACCTAGACCTTATCCCAAGTGAACTTGGCAGTTTAATTTATCGCACATTGCTGGAATGCAAGCAGGAAGTGTTTATGCACTTAAGCTATTTTTCCATATCCATGCTGCTGCAATTTATTCCAACCAGTCTTTCATTGCTTCTTTCCAGTTAAAAATGATAGTTTGCAACAAAAAATAAATACATATACAGTTTTCAAATAAAATCTTTTGCAAAGAAAGCCAAAAAATCTATAAAAGTTCAGGAAAAGTTTCATTCACCAATTACTCATCAGTGATCCAGTATTCATTTATTCATGATCTGGATCTTCCATTGCTTTATGGATATTACTAACTTCTTACAGCCTTCCAGAAGCTTGAATGACTGGGCCTCTTTATTTCTTTTCCTCCTGTCTAGTTTCTTCCTCATTCTCACTTTCAGTTTGAAAGGAGGAAAATTTTCCACCAAATCGTTCAGCAATGCAGGTGCTGGAATATTCATGGAGACAGCCACATTGAAATTGCTAGGCAGTTGGCCTATTACATAATGAGAGCATAAGGAAATTGGCTTCTCCTTTACAGAATATGCATATTAACCACCTACTGACCAACCTATCCTATGACAAGTCACTTTAAGTAGCACATGGATGTGGATATGGAAATGGGCATATGGAAAAAATGCCCTTTTTCCAGAGAACTCCTCAATTAAGGAGAAATGCAATAATGGGACAATGTGTTATGGAATTATGGTCAGAAGATTGAAAGGTCACCAATATAAGATAGCTGAATCCATGAAATGTGGGAAACCTAGTGAGTACTTGAAAATTGTAAGAGTCCCAAGTATGGAAGCTATTGGAGATTGTAATATTCAGTATAAATGACTGATCATTTTGAAGCCATCTGTCATACTACTTAAGCTAAATGACGAGCTCTGTGTGTTGAAGTTCTTTTATATTTTAAGTTAAGTAATGTACTAAGGAGGGTATTTTGTCATTAAGCTTGCAAAACATGTTTAGTGTATTTGTATTTATCTAGTAATTAAATGAACATTTCCCTTTCTTTATTTAGGTAATTTAAAATATGCTCCTGTTTATGTAGGAGGAGGGCTGGCTGATGGGTGTGAAAGAAGCAACTAGCGAGAAGGGCCTCTTTCCGGCCAACTTCACTCGTCCGATATGATCCGATTCTGAACCCGTCCATTGCACCCCAATCTCAGATGAGAGAGATCTGCTTAGCGGTTGTCTTCCAATTTACTTAGGCCATCATATTGTCTTCCTATATTTCTTTCCTTCTTGGTTTTTTTCCCCACGCACGTCTTGGGCTGCCTCCTCCCATCAGACATGTGATACCGTGGCCTTCGCTCTTCTATTCTTTTTTTTCCCCTCCTGTCTGTTCCTAATTTTAGGCCCCCTTATATCCTATCATCGATTCATTGAGTTATATTTCTTCATTCATCCTTTTGGAATGTTCCTTATATTTGGTGCATGTGAGAATGTTTTTACCTTGGGTTTTTGTTTCTTCCTTTCTTCTGCCCATGATTGATCAGTTTCACATCTTCATGTATACATTAGAGCCCTGTTCTCTGTGCTAACAAGGACATTCAGTGCAATAACAATGTTCTCCCAGCCCACACGATAGATCTGCACTGCCAAGGAACATGTCAAGAATTGTTTTCCCTTTGTGTGATCGTGAGTTCTGCCCTGTAAATACAGTGCTTGCTGTGCAACGAGACAATAACAAGTGTAAAGTGAATAATTTGAAAGGAAGAGAGAGCAGTACTAGAGGTACTGGTTCAGTTTTTCATTTTGCCTCATCTTCCTGATTGATCCAGTGCCAAATGTGAATGTAGCCTTTATTATTTCAAAGTTTCCTTCTGATGCCTTTTTCTCAGCTTTTTAACTATCACATTCTAGAATGCTCAAATTTTCTGCATTGGTCCTATTCCTTTGGCCTTCTATCACCCTGTGCCTAATGAAATAATATAAATCCATGTTTCAGATAATTATGAATGAAAAAAAGATTGTCTCCTGAACCAAAGCTTTGTTTTATTTTCACATTTTCTCCTGAATTACTTATTAGCATTTTCATTACCATTGACTTATGAAATAGGCTTGAGACCTTTATGGAAGAGGTAAATACGACCAGAGCCATTGCCACCGGCCACAATGGTCAGGTGCTTGTGATGACACACAATGGAGCAAATGGACTGCAGGTGATCCTCTGATATCAAATTAGAGAGGAGCATCCCCTCTGAATTCCATGCCTCAATCTGTTTAACAGAAACAAGTACATGATCTGAGTAAAAAAGTAGGAAGTAGTAGAATAGTAGGATTAACGTACCCGTCGGGGGAAGAGTTTGGAAGGTGAGAACAAAACATCATCTCTCTGTGGATGCCACTTGAGCTTGAAAGGAACAATGAATCTACCTGTGTTATTATCATGATACCAGCTCCTTAAAAGCTTGATCTTGCCAGGATCCTCACTCCCATATAATCGAAGACTGAAATGAAAAAAAAATGGTAATAATTCTCTCAATATACAGCCCTACACCTGGAGTCAGGAGAGATAACCTAATGAAATAGACTAACATACTGATTGTCTGTGCAAGTGGTGGCAATTCTCTTGCCTGTAAGAGGTGAGAAGAGAGCTGAGTGGACAATGCGTGAGTGGGGTAATGTTGTAACTGGCTTCGTCATTTTCCCTCGTATGTCCCATAAACTCACATCTCTAAAGATGCAATCATGAGAGACTTGTTAAGTTGGTCAAAAGCCAACACTATCAAGGAACTAAAGCTCAGACTCACCCATCACGAGAAGCAGTCAGCAGAAGCTCCTTCTTCAAGGGATGGAAGCAAAGTGACTTGACTGCATTTGCCCTCTTAGAGGAATGACATGGATATATGGCATTATACCCTTTTTGTTTTTGGTGCCCTCGTAGGTCAACCAATGTCACACTCCCATCACCTAAAAGATTCATATGCCCTGAACCCTTTATTGTTCTCTTTCTTTATTTTGAAGATTTTCTTATTTCAACTGGAATAAACCTCTTCCAATGAGGATGGTATGAGGAGACTGGAAGGTGTGGTATGTAATCCATAGGTCATCAGGATCATGATACACCTATAAAGAAGAAAAAATTCCCACTCATCATGACACAGAAATGGGAATATACCTTTCTAAGGAAATGTTCCAAATATCTGAGTGACCTTAAATGTGAATAATCCCATCTTATCCTTTGTTCATCCTCATATTCTGCAATGAGGGATGCAGCACATCATTGGCAAGCTGAGGATGGCTATTCCATGACATGCATTTTGGCGTCTAGGATGGCATCTAACATGCAATTGTGGGAAAAAAAAGGAGTATTCTTTGACATACTTCTTCAAACACGAGGTTTTGGAGGTCTGCTGAACGGACATTTCCTTGATATGAGGTGGTGAGGAGATGATGAGTGAAATATGGTCGAAAAGAGAGACAGTTTATGGGCCTCTGGTGTGGTCTGAAAAGATGGACCCCTTCTGAAGCTCCTCTGGATGAGAGGATATCCCAGATTCCTATCGCCAAAAATGAGGGTCTCAAGTCTTGATTTAGAACAAAGATTCTAGAATAAACAAATGAGTCTCCCATATCCAGGGTGGGTAAAATCCATGATTTCTTTTCATATTTCTTGCATTTTTTGGCATTATTTTGTCACATAGCTTCTTAGTTGGCATTGTCTTCATTATCCACTGTTTGGGTGGGTGCTGAGATATACAGGGCTTATGTATGGGTACATTGTGTGTTAAAAAACAGCCACATCATCTTTTCCCAGTCATGTCCTCCTGATTCTTATCTTGAACCCCCATAAAGAAATGGATGACAATAATAACCAGGGTAGGAATGATGCAGTGAGACACAAAATTGGAAATGCTGCAAATTATGCATGAGAGAGGGAGAGAGAGAGATTTAATGTTTTCACAAGTTTGGGAGAACATGGTGCTTTCGTCTACTACTTAAAAGTGTTTCAAACTCAACAATAAATCATAAAAGTTGTTGAAAGGTATGCAGTTAAGGTAAATATAAGAGAAATCAAGGCATAAAAGCAAGATAAATCAGTAGAGGTTAGGTTGTTGCCTGGTAAAGGTAGCAATATCTCTTTAAAACCAATATGGTGAGTTCCAGTGGTGTAAATCAACTCTGTATGTCAGGTTGGAGGCCTCAAAAACTACTTAATTTCATGCATAATTTGCATAAATTAAGCTAATTAGATGTTAATATGGCCACTATGAGTGAAAAAAAGTAGCAACACTTCAAACATGATATATTATAAATCCTTGAATATAAGTGGATTAAATTCACATACACAATAAAAGACATAATAAAGCTTGGAATGATGGAGCAATTTTATGAAATTCCTTCAGAATAAAAACATTTGACCAATTGAATTTTTTTCTCCATTTTGACCTGCTTCTTATGTATTAATATGCTAATTATTCAAATTGCATTCACAATATTGGGGAAATGCTCTCATCATTCCATGACCTCTGATGCATGGAAATTTATTGCAAAACATCATAGATACAGGGTGGGTCAAAAAAAACCGGTCCTCTACTTTGAAACCTTATATCTCGGTCCCAAATTGAGCTAGAATAATTTAGCAAAAATGAAATGAAAGTTCATTTAATTCGCTTTCCAATGATATCAGTTGCAATTGAGTTCCGTCGAAAAACACGGGAGATAAATTGATTTGAAAAAAACTTTCCGCTGAAAAAAGTTGAAAATCACGCTTTTTGGCTCAATATGGCCACCTTTCTGCCGAATAACTGCCTTCAATCTCCCTTTCCACTTGAGGATGGCAGTGGCAATTGAGCCCTGTGAAAGTTCGGATTCGTTCCTTCAGTTCAGCGACACACCGGATTTTTTGCCCGCGATACACTTTCTCTTCCAACGCGGACCACACAAAATAATCGACTGGGTTTAAGTCAGGGCTATTGGGCGGCCAATTTTCAGGTTCGATGAAATCAGGACAGTTTTCACGAAGCCACTGAATTGTTGCCAGAGCGGTATGGGGTAAAAGAGAAAGTGTATCGCGGGCAAAAAATCCGGTGTGTCGCTGAACTGAAGGAACGAATCCGAACTTTCACAGGGCTCAATTGCCACTGCCATCCTCAAGTGGAAAGGGAGATTGAAGGCAGTTATTCGGCAGAAAGGTGGCCATATTGAGCCAAAAAGCGTGATTTTCAACTTTTTTCAGCGGAAAGTTTTTTTCAAATCAATTTATCTCCCGTGTTTTTCGGCGGAACTCAATTGCAACTGATATCATTGGAAAGCGAATTAAATGAACTTTCATTTCATTTTTGTTAAATTATTCTAGCTCAATTTGGGACCGAGATATAAGGTTTCAAAGTAGAGGACCGGTTTTTTTTTACCCACCCTGTATCTCTACTAGGTCCTGAGATATCATGCTCAAGAGCCCTGTACTTATGGTGAAAATGGTTTTTGGGAAATCAAGAAGAGAAGTGAATTAGCACCCTGTGAGCCATCTGCAAAGGTCATTGAAAACTATGGAACCTACAGACTCTGTGAAATGAGGCACCTAGGGGTAGAATCCATAGTGAACTATAGACTTCTACAAAAGTAATGGCATTGAAATTTTAATTTGTCATCTTTCCTAACATATGGTATCCAAGGATGAAAGTTGGTACTAAGGAGATGTAAATAAGACAATACTACCATAATTGATTAAAATTACACCTAATTAACTAAGTTTCCTTATTTTTTCCAATGGGAAAGCAATACTCAGTGTCTGAAGTATAGTTTGAGCCAATTTCTGAGAAAATTATTTTTTTTTTTCAAAAATAAAAAAGGGGGTATTGCTACCTTAAACAATAAATGTTCACTGGATATAACCATTTCCTTGGCCAAGAACAATGCAAAACCCTACCTATCTTGGTGGGTCACTTAAATGAAATTTCAGAAATCGGCATATACTTTCTTTTACTAGAATATAAAAGTAAAATAAGTGAGACTATTGAGACAAAGGAACTAAATGGGATGTCCAAAGTATGGCTTGCAGGAAAGATCCATCACATCAAATGCATTGCAATCAAGAAAATAATGTGCATGTTTGACTGCACCCAAAGTGTCCTTTTCAGTGTTTTGAGTTTCACAAAAAATGTAAGAAATATATATATATTTTTCAACTATCTGGCTCACACCATTCTTATCCTTACAATGTGGCCTGAACTTTCAGTTACAATTCAGCACATTGAAAGTATAGTGGACATGCTGACAGCATTACCTAGGCAGGCTGGGTTCAGCTTGTCATCAATGTCAAGGTGAAACTAGCACCATAGAGACAGGCAAAACAGTGAAAATGCTCATGGGTGGGTTTTAATGAATTAATTCTGTGTAATGTTTTTTTACTTATTTATCCCAGTATGGAATTAGAGCATGTCCAATGCTTTGACAGTCAAAATACAACAGCAAGAAGAAAATAGAAACAAAACAACAAAGGGCAGTGGTTAAGAATTTGTTGAAATAGAGAGGGAGTCTGCAAGTGAGAAAGACATGAAGCAAAAAGGAGAAAACACGAACATCAAGCTCAAATGTGTGACATGCTGGTTCCAGATCCAAAAGATCTTAGAAATTGCTGCAGTCTTCTGGTGTATCAGTTTTTCCAACAGGTTTTCACTTTTGGCAAGATAGCATACATTAGGTCTAAATTTACGTCAGAATCTGAAGACATGAAATTTGAAGCTTCAGAGCCACCAATAATAAAATCACAAAGAAAAATAGGAATTGAGTACCTAAATATGGGTATGTTGCTTTAAATCTTAATTTTTAAATAATCCAATTCTGCCCACATACCAACATATCCATCTCTGTCCCCAGCAGCAATGAGTACAGATGTAGTACTTGGGTAGAACTCCATGGAATAAATACGAGATGGAACAACTTTGGCATATGACTCTTCAGTGACCTTCAACTCCTCCAATGTTGATTGATATCTAGAAGTAAAAGATGGAAATGCAAACAGCTGTATGTTATAAATCCCTAATTTGGCCATTTCACATAATAACAAACTCACTTGTCTAAAGGAATGAGATTCATGTTGCTGGAAGGTGTCTTAGATCTGAAATTTTGGATGCTGCCCAAAAATAATTTTGTCTCATCCCATATGTCCTGCTCCAATTTGTATGCATCTATCATCTGCAAAGGCCCTGCATGACATGAGAGAAAAATATATTAGAGGTCAAGAAACCTTGATACACTTTTAACCTTCTTGGAAAATTTATTGGTGAAAAGAAAGTTTTCATAATCAGGATATCAAGAGGAATGAGATGTACTCCATCCATAAATTCGAATGCATTCCAATTCTGACCAGATCCTACCAGATGGGATGATATCGGCTTCAGCTTCCCTTTCTGCAGCAGCAAAAGATGCTTGTTCCAAGGCCTCAAAAGATAATGAACCATCCTTTATATCCCCTTGCAGCTGCAGTCTCAAGCTCTTTCGTGAAGGCAGGCCCTCCAAATCATTTGCTTTCCTTTTCTTCACACTGTAAAGGTAGCATTTAGGAAAAGCAAGTGTTAATGATAATTTTTCAGGTCAAATAAACCTAGGTATGAAGGATACATCACAAAAAGAATGCAGTCACATATTTTTTGACAACAGACACTTCTAACATTTGGTTGAAAGCTAGATGTCACAAATGAAATATACAGGGTGGGTCAAAAAAAAAACTGCCCCTAATTTGAAGCTTAATAACTTGGGCCCCATTGCATCAATATCAGTTTTAAAAAAAGCTAAAAAAAGCAAAATGAAGCTTGTTCAATTTTCTTTCAAATAATATATACATTTTGGGGGTTTGTTTCAGAGAAATGGCCGCTATTACAGTTTTAAAAAAAGTGACAAAATAATTTCCTGAAAACAGCCTTCCTGAGTTCTTTCCAATGTCATGCTGCTGCTGTCACCTGTTTCCCACATACCCCCTTCTCCCACATGCCCCTGCATGATACGGATTGGTTGCTGAGAGATCATGTGACCATGAGGCGAGTAACATGAGGCTGTTGTAGATTGTGGAGTAGGGCACATTGAACCATTTTAAGATCATCAAAAGGGTCTGTGTGCGTGTGAGTGATAAACTCAAGGTTGAGGAAAAGGAACTTGGAGTGAAAGCCCATTTTCAGGAAAATTTTTCATCACTTTTTTTAAAACAGCAATAGCAGCTATTTCTCTGAAGCAAACCCCCCCCCCAAAAGTACACATCATTTGAAAGAAAATTGAACAAGCTTCATTTTGCTTTTTTAAAAATTACCAAATGGGGCCCAAATTATTAAACTTCAAATTTGGGGCGGTTTTTTTTGGCCCACCCTGTACAGAGAGAGGAGCTCCAAAAGAACCACTCTACCTTCAAACAGCTTTAAGTATTACAGGGTGGGACAGAACCTTTTTCTCCCCCCCTTCGACCCATAGCATTTTAACAATTAATTTATGCTGGGTAAGATCTGAAAGCCTGATTTGATCAGAACAGTTTCTGATCATTTTCAAATAAATATATCAAAATGGCTGATATTTACAACAGCAAAAAGCAGAGAGCGATTGATATAATTAAATGTATTGCATTTTGTGAGGCTCAATCTGCCCTTGCAGACCTCCAGAGAAACCTTGTCCAAGTGCTCCAAGGCATGGAGAACTGAATAGATTTGTTTCAAGAACTACTGAATCCTACCCTAGTTGTCTGTAAGCAGTTGGTCTAGCAGGTGGTGGTTGCATAGATTATTGAGTTGGTCACATGAGATTCATTTTTATTCAGGAATACAATGTTCAATTGGTTTTTCCTGAGTCTCTTTCATGTTGCAGTACTGGGGGGGGGGGGGGGGGATAAAAGTTTTTTCCCCCCCCATNGTTGCATAATTATTGAGTTGGTCATATGAGATTCATTTTTATTCAGGAATACAATGTTCAATTGGTTTTTCCTGAGTCTCTTTCATGTTGCAGTACTGGGGGGGGAGAGAAAAAAGTTCTATCCCACCCCATATATTGTACAGAGTACATGAATAACATTTTGTTTTAATTTATGAAGAAGGCTGGGAGCTTCATGTATGTAAACCACCATGACTTCAATTATAGCATAAACTGGTGACATCAGACTAAGGTTGTGGTCAAAATCCATTATAACGTGTCATATTTCTGACCTGAGCATCCTTTATTAAGGTATTGGACAGAACCTGTTGGCTGAAATACAAGGGTGGTTTTTTTCTTATAAAGTCTTACTTCTGGAAAGAATAACTGCATTACATATAATCCAATTTACATTAAATTCACAGGGTACACAAGTGGATGTGAATGGAGTAGCAAAGGCAGGTGGCACTACATCAAACTACAACTGTTTGATATGTGCCTCTCTCCTGAACAAGGATGGAATTGAGACATGTCATTACAATGCAAACTGCACTCCTGTGTGGGCCTGCAGTGCTCACAAAGACGCAATCAACTCGCAGCTGAACCTCCAAGTGTAACTTGCAACAGTATTCTAGATAAGTATTCTAACAACCTGTCCCTCTCAATTCACTGCGATATCAATGAGGCCATCCCATCCTGCTTAAAATCAAAGTGCCCTTTCTGGACTGCTGTGAGAATTCTGCATGACCTGGGGTCATATGCAGAAGTATTCTGGCGAGAAGCCTGGTCTCACGTGGACATGAAAAATGTGAACCTCATCAACGAACCATCAGCTGAGGTACCAGGTATCACACTCCCACACCACAAATGGGTGACCTTAAATTGCATCCGGACATGGTTGTTCCAGACATCTGATGCACAAGTGGCACATTAACAATTGCCAATGTGCAAATGCAGCACTCCAATCCAAATAATGGAGCACATCATCAACAAATACCCATTGTACTCATTTCCCGGCAGCATCAAGGAAATACACACAGCATCACTAAAAACTCTTGACTGGATTTCAAAGATTAATATCAATTTCTAATAGTTGCTATTCCCATATGAAAGAAGAAGATTGCAAACTGCTGACATTCACATGTCCTTGTGAATGTAGCTATGATGTATCAAGTGGCATCTTTGAGCATGGGCAGTGATGTCATATGGTTTTGATAAACCTAGTCCTGGTAGACAGGTGTGCTTGGCTGACCTGACCAGGTATGGTCAAAATCTTCCAGTCTCTTCAAATTTCTAGACAAGGTGGTGAATGTATGATAGATTGCAAGGACCCCACCATCGGTTTCTTAGCCTGCAGAAGTCTGACAGAGCTGCAGTGGTGTTGCTATTAGAGATGCAGCGATATTGAATTTTGGCTGATATCCAATATACTGCTAATTCTGATATTGGAAAAGAACCGATACCGATATCTATATATACATTTATATTTGCACATTCAGGGTAGATTTTGAACAGTGAACTATCTGATAACGCTGCTTTATTTCCAGGAAATATGTGTTTTCCCCAGAATAAAGCTGCATTATCAGATTGCTCTCTGTTCGAAAATCCACCCTCAGGCATTAACCCCTCCACTTTTAAGTTTTATTTGGGGCCAGGTCTGATGGGGAAAGCTTGAGGTGCACCAGTGGTGCACCTCATGCTTTTGCCATCTCTTCAATAGTGAGAAGAA